TTTTAATTATTAGACTACATTCATGCACTATTCGTCGTCTTAGTTCTTCCAATGAAGCAAGAATGGCATTATAAATCTTAATTTTTTAAAAAACTCCATAGGAAAAAAGTGCAGTAGAACTAAATCGGGAGATCTTGCTGGACATTAAAAAAACTTCTTCGTATAATCCATTGCCCAGGAAACCGTTTATCAAGGTAATGTCTTACGTTTATGTTATAGTGCGGAGGTGCGCCTGCTTTTTGCAAAAACAAATAATCTTCTGAGTGCCTGTTATAGTTATTATTATATCTGTCAAAAGAGGGAAAGATTCTACAGTGTCATCTAATAATTTTAGATATGATTCTTTGTTTAAATTTTGTTGCAAAAAAAAATCCCCAACAAAACGATGCCCATAAATCCCTGCTAATACGTTTAATTTCTATGATTATTCGGTATATTAAATAGAAACTTTGAGTTACTATTTGGGTTACTATTTACTCTCACAAAACTGTAGTTACCTGTCAGGAGCATCGTCATCTTCTGCACCAAGTGTATCTTGTATAGATGAAATTTGTAATATTTGTGTACTCTGCAGACACTGGTGCGTGGAAAACCAGATTCTAAACTATTTTTTGGAAGTAGGTTCCAAATTAACGTAACCTAAAATTGCTACTTCTGCCATTTTAGTCCTAACAAGTTTTTCAAACTCCCTTTTTTACCAGCTACTGATTCCGTTTCATAAAAATTTTAAGTAGTCTTAATAGGGATGAGTGATAAAGATACTTATCTTGATGAAGTTGATTAAATAATTCCGCTTATCTCCTTGTACACTTTCAGTTCAAATAACTAAACTATTTTTTTTTAGTGTAGGTTTTGACATTTTTAAGAGATATAACATGTTTAATAAATTGATAATATTTAACAAGTATAGAGTTAATATCAAAAGAAAATGTTCGGTTTTTCCCTAAGAACTATGACATGTCAATTGCCCTTGTGAATTGGCCCTTGAAGAGGTTTTTCACAGATACAAAATTTCTTCTGATACAAAAATTTGTATCAGAAGAAATCTGAAACAAAAAGCCAAAGCTTATTCACACGTTTTTTACCGAAACATGCATTGATAATGGCTTCTTCTTCTTCTTTAAGTTCCACTCCTATCGGAGATTAGAAATCATTCTGGCAATTATAATTTTGTTGGTTACGCGCCTGAATAGTTCAATTGAACTGTATCCAAACCATTCACGGAGATTTCGTAGCCACAAGATTTTACGTCTTCCTACACTTCTTCTACCTTTGACTTTACCCTGCATTATATTTCTTAGTACTTCGTATTTTTCACCTCTCATGATGTGCCCCAAGTATTCCAATTTCCTGATTTTTATGGAATTTAAAACTTCGCATTGTTTCCCTAGTTGTTCGTTTGTTTTGCGATCCATCCATGATATTTTCAAAATACGTCGGTAACACCACATTTCGAATGCTTCTAGATTTTTAATGTAGGATGTAGAGAAAATATAACATCGAAGCATTCTTATCCGGGCCGATATATTGATATCGCGGTTACAAAAAAGTTTTCTCATTCTATTAAAAGTTGACCGTGCAATTTCAATGCGGCATCTTTTGTCTGATCAGTATCTTCTGTGATCCATGCTCCAAGGTATTTGTACGAAGATATTTGTTCAATTTCTGTATTATCTAGTACTAGCTTAACTTTGATGTTTTGTGCTTTTGTAAATACCGTGAACTTGGTTTTCTTCAAATTTATTTTTAGTCCATAATCGTTGCAATATATATTTAGTTGTTCAACAAGGTGTTGCAGTTCTTGCCAGAAGGACAGTGTCGTCAGCATATCTCATGTTATTAAGTGGCTCACTGTTTATTATAAGGCCCTCACTAATCTCGGCAAGCGCTAATTCTGAGATGACTTCACTGTATAAATTGAATAACAAGGGTGATAAAATACACCTTGGCGGACCCCACGGCGAATCTGGATATCCTGGTAATGGCTTGCTTTTGTCTTAAAACGAAAATGGTTACTTACAATTTTAGAGCAAGCTCGACAAAATGCTTTTCCTTCATCCAGCTTTAATTCAAAATATGGCTGAATCCAAGCACTTATTTTGGATATTGCTATGTAAACAAATTAACGAAGTCACGGGTTACGTTATAAAAAGTACACTATAAATGCAGCGTTCGGCAAACTTTCTTACGTTCTAAAAAATCAAACAATCCCTCTATACTTACGAAACAAGGTATATAACTCCTGTATCATACCGGTGCTCACCTACGGAGCACAGACATGGACATTTACACAGGCCAATTTGGATAGGATAAGGAAGGCACAAAGAGCGATGGAGAGACAAATGTTGGGTGTATCACTTAGAGATAGAAAACGTAACCAGTGGATCAGAACCAGAACAAAGACAGTAGACGCGATAGAACAAGCAGCAAAACTGAAATGGAAACGGGCTGGACACAATGAACGTCTCCAAGACGGACGATGAACAATGCCATCGGAAAGTGGCGTCCATACAATGCAAAGAGATCAAGAGGCAGACCACAGATGAGGTGGAAAGATGACATCAGAAAACAAGGAGGTCCCACATGGCAGAGAACAATTCAAGATAGGGAAAGATGGAGAGAACTGGGGGAGACCTATATCCAACAATGGAAGGATGGACGTTTAAAATGGAGGAGGAAGGAGGAGGAGATGGAGGAAAAAATGCATGTTTAAAATTTGTTTAAACGTACAAATTTACACTGTTTATAAACGCTAAAACTATAAATGAAACTAATGTAAATTTCTGAGATTCATACAGCTACCTATTCCTAGAAGCTTCACCAACACTTCCGCCCATTTTGGATTTTGGAAAAACCCGTGTAAAAAAAAGTTATTATGTATCTTTCATTTTGTTTGTTTATTAAGGTTGTTAATTGTTTATTAGTTTACTTAAAGCCTTTTATTACAATAGCAGGTACGCCCAAAATGATTCAAAGAAACAGAGATTTTATTACTCGGGGAATATGAAGAACATTTCGAGAAAAGGTCGACACATTCAGAAAATATTTTCAATTGTTGTTTTGTATAAAAAATATGTAGATATGTGTATTCAATTTCTTGTAAAATTATGGAATTTATGCAAAATATGCCAGATATGCATTTGGCATATATTCCGATCTCTACTCATAACTTATTAAAAGTCATAACTTCTAAAAATGCTAAATATGATACCTCTAAGAATTTCCAAATTATCTTTACGGGTTTTTTCTTTGCCAAAATTATTACCACCAATTGATATTTCAACTTTTTGCTAATAAATTAAACTAACAAATTTATAAATCTCTCCTTGTACATTGCCCAATCGGGCGAGTTCATTATGCACATTGGACTAGTCCAATAGTCGTACAGTTTTGCAACGACACAATGCTGCTGCAGGCTGACCTAAAAATCCCTTTATTATGACAAAAAGAAAAGTCCTAAATATCCCCCCACTCCCCCACATTGAAATAATAATTTCAACATAAAGCTTAAACATATCACTACGATTGTTCTGGGAGGGGACACCGTATTGAAATAGAACGTATATATTTTCCCAAATGATTTTTGTTCAAGACAACTTGCACATTTCTGTCTGGACCACAGAACAGTTCCTTTACTCTTCCTAATTGCCACTGGAATGGTGGCAGATTGTCTTCTTTGATGATAACCAACTGTCCAGTTTGAAGATTACTGGAACTCTTCATCCATTTGTGCCTTTGTTGCAATTCAGCAAGGTACTCATGATTCTGCTAAGAAACTTCCAAATTATCTTTACGGGTTTTTTCTTCGCCAAAATTATTACCACCAATTGATATTTCCAACTTTTTGCTAATAAATTAAAATAACAAATTTATAAATCTTCTCCTTGTACATTGCCCACTCGGGCGAGTTTCATTATGCACATTGGACTAGTCCAATAGTCGTACAGTTTGCAACGACACAATGCTGCTGCAGGCTGACCTAAAAATCCCTTTATTATGACAAAAAGAAAAGTCCTAAATATCCCCCCACTCCCCCACATTGAAATAATAATTTCAACATAAAGCTTAAACATATCACTACGATTGTTCTGGGAGGGGACACCGTATTGAAATAGAACGTATATATTTTCCCAAATGATTTTTGTTCAAGACAACTTGCACATTTCTGTCTGGACCACAGAACAGTTCCTTTACTCTTCCTAATTGCCACTGGAATGGTGGCAGATTGTCTTCTTTGATGATAACCAACTGTCCAGTTTGAAGATTACTGGAACTCTTCATCCATTTGTGCCTTTGTTGCAATTCAGCAAGGTACTCATGATTCTGCTAAGAACTTCCAAATTATCTTTACGGGTTTTTTCTTCGCCAAAATTATTACCACCAACTGATATTTCCAACTTTTTGCTAATAAATTAAACTAACAAATTTATAAATCTCTCCTTGTACATTGCCCAATCGGGCGAGTTCATTATGCACATTGGACTAGTCCAATAGTCGTACAGTTTGCAACGACACAATGCTGCTGCAGGCTGACCTAAAAATCCCTTTATTATGACAAAAAGAAAAGTCCTAAATATCCCCCACTCCCCCCACATTGAAATAATAATTTCAACATAAAGCTTAAACATATCACTACGATTGTTCTGGGAGGGGACACCGTATTGAAATAGAACGTATATATTTTCCCAAATGATTTTTGTTCAAGACAACTTGCACATTTCTGTCTGGACCACAGAACAGTTCCTTTACTCTTCCTAATTGCCACTGGAATGGTGGCAGATTGTCTTCTTTGATGATAACCAACTGTCCAGTTTGAAGATTACTGGAACTCTTCATCCATTTGTGCCTTTGTTGCAATTCAGCAAGGTACTCATGATTCTGCTAAGAACTTCCAAATTATCTTTACGGGTTTTTTCTTCGCCAAAAGTAATACCACCAACTGATATTTATTAACAAATAAATAATGTTAAAGTATCTAATAAAATCTTCATTTTTTGCAGAGAACCGAAGAACGTTCAGTCCCCATAGCCGTCCGCATCCATCGCACGCTAGAGCTAGCTGACGACAAATTTTACGTAATCACTTGTGGAAAAGCAGGCTTCCGGAATGCAAAAAATGAAACATCCTTAGTGTCGTTGAAGTTAGTCGACAACAATCAAAAAGTAACCGAAGCAGTATATCACCGACCATATAACCTAACAATAGAAATCTCTAGACCAGATGGCACCTATGGATTTCGGTAAGACTCTATTTAATACAATAAACATTTAGAAATAGATTCAGTGTATGGATTTATTGGTTGATGAGTGTTTGTGGGTGTGAATATCATATGCATGTTTGATTTGTATTCTTTTGCTTTAATTGCTTTTTAAAAATTGAAATTTTTTTTAAAGCTTTTGAGCAAAATTTGTCCTTTGATTGCAAATAAACAGTATTGGGAATATTGTAATAAAATCATTTTTTAATTTTTGTAGAGTAAAAAATTGTCAAGCTTTCAACAAGCCCAACGAGAGTGTGGCCCTTTCAGACGATAGGGGTTGTCCAATTAATGAAAAAACTTTCCTGGGGCCATTTTCATATGATCTGAAGAGCGGAACGGCGAATGCTCAACTCGCATCGATGTTTAGGTTTCCTGATAGTTCTGAAGTTCATTTTCAAGTAAGTTATAATATTTTTGTACCTTACTCTACGTTTTGTATTAAGATTTAATGTTTTTAAAAATTAGGTTAGGTACGCATTAAAATTAAACTTGTATGTACTTCAATGTGAGCTTCGAATACTTTACAATATTTAACTGTTTAAGTTAGTTAAAAATTGTTAATAAGATATCTTCATAAACCATAAGTGCATGAGCTCTGTGCTTATTTTGCGTAAAAATTCTATATTTTTAAATCAAAAAATTAAACTATGTCCCAATACGAAAAAATTATTAAGTTTATTTCTAAATTTAAAAATATTGAAATTTTGTAACGAAGCATAATTAATTTTAAACATTGTTCAATATGTTTAATGTGTAATTTTTTTGCTATTTTTATATGTCCATTTAATAGAACAACTCTTCTTCTTATTTTTAAGTGTAGTAGTCTTATAGCATTGCAAAAAGTTTAAAAACTATTCAATAAATCGTTCTTCTTTTGACGCAAAACTGAAAGTTGTAAAATCATTTTTGATATTTGTATATAAATGCTATTTTAGCCACATATAACCTTAAAGAATTGTTAGATAGCAGTTACAGTGACTGGCAAAAAAATGAATACCTCTATGACAGGTTGTCACTTCATCTTTTGCGCAGTCGTCCTATACCTCTTTTGCCGATTGGTGACATCTCTTGCTATTTGACGACACATTGTCTTCTAATGTCTTCACTTCCCTTTCCATCTCTCAGCGTATTTCCTGTTATTTTTCTCTGTACTCTCATCTGTGTGCTCTGTGCTCTCAACATTGCATATTGTCGAAATGGTTACTGACAAAAGGCGAGGAAAGGAGATAAAAAACCTAGGATTGTTCAAGACTACAACAATACTATGGGTGGCGTTGACAGAGTTGACCAACATCTGGCTAATTACCCTGTGAAAAGAGATATTACAAAAAAATATTCTTCCACCTTCTTGAACACGCCCAGTGAAATGCTTTTGTACTGTACAAGAAAAGCGGAGAACTAGAAATGCATCTAGAATTTTAAATGGGTTTGATAACACAACTTATTGATGTTTGCTACAAAGATGAGGAGATGTGTCAAGTAGAAGACCTTCAACGCTTTCAAACCCACTTAAACTTACCGGTCGACAAGTTGTACCTGTCACAGGGAAAAAAGGTCATCCATCTTGAATGTAAAGCACGTGGTGTTCGTGTGTATCAAGGTATATAATGTGTTTTGTCGACGTCGACAAAATTTCACCAGCTCCTGGGGGATATGTTAAATGCCCCCAGTTGTACTTTATTTATTATTTACTATTAATTATATAATACTAATATTATATTAATTATAATACTATTAATATTTTTATTAATTACCGAAGTTAATGGTCTATTACATTTACCTTTGTAAATTCCACGAGAATTTTTTATTACTGATGTCCTTCTAGTGTTTTTCTGTGGCCAAACAATGTTTTTAACAACTTTTTATTAAACTCATAATGGAATGATTTAATTCCGAAGAGATCTTCTTTAAAATAAAGTTTTAAGCTTTTAATAAGCATTTTTTTATACCTTAATACATACGAACACCACGTGCTTTGTAGTCAACAGGTATACTAGCCACTCCTGGATATCTTCACTTCATGGTTTTGTTTCAGTTTCATTTTAATTTTTTAACATCCTGAATGTGTATTATGTGCAGTAAGGCGAAGGATGTATCCGGAAAGAAGTTGAGGCACAAATGATGTAAAAAGTGAACCAGCAAGTGCATTAATAAAAAAAAAGGGTTTTTGAGACCGTTTTTGGAAAAATAAATGGTTCGTTAAGGGGATAATGGGTTAATTGTGTTTTAAAAACGTTCTTACAACATTCCAAACATGATGTATTAATATAAAATGTATTAATATGCTAAACAATATTTATTTGTTAAGCTAATAACCTTAAGGTGAATGTGACTATAACGTTTAAATATAAAAAAATAGGTTGAATAGATGTATCAACTTTTGCCACATCGCGACATAAATATAACAATATTCTCAATATAAAAATATATAAATCCATGTATCAAAAAGCAGTCCTATTTTGTATTGATTTTACTTCGCACTGGAGTTTTCTGATATGATATAAGAATTCGCAATACGTATTTTCTCGGATTCTTGAGGCAAATTGAAGGAAAAAGTTTATCGAAAAGGAAAAGTTTACCCAGAAAACGCTTTTAAGTTGTAAACTGCGATCTGAAGAGAATGTAAATGGAGGTAAATGGGCAAAGTAATCTTGCACTCCAAAGTAATTTCTTTCATATTCGAATGTTTGTTCAAACAAAAACTTTGAATTGCTGGTAGTAAAATTAATGTGGGAGAAGTTGAAGTTGAATTTCAACATTTTTTTATATTCCATATGTTGTCAAAACACCTTTATAAGTATGATTTTAAACAAATACAGAATACATTACTTTATCGGCAGATAAAATGAATAATATAGGTTAATAATATTATAATATTGAAGAGCCCTCTCTGTCGGTACAGTAGTAAACAGTGTTTTTCTTCGGTCCTACAAAATAAGCAAGTTACGGTGGGAAATAAGAATAGTGTTTTATTAAGTTATAGTGGAATACTTAGCTAATAAACTGTAAATCATCTGCATATTTTCATTAAGCCGCAAATCAAATTGGTTTCTATTTAAAATATAAATATCCCTAAAATTTCATATCGATAGGAGGCATATTGAGGTGTGCATGCCGTTGTTATCAGCAACTGGACAGGTCATATTCCACAGTCTTAGTCCTCCAGCAATTTCCAAAAAATGATAAAGCTATAATTTTCGTGTGCAATCGATAAAGCTGGTCTTTAGGATTACCTTTTCCCTTTAGGAAGCATAAAAGGACGCAAACATATTATTTTCCGTTCCGTTTATCAAATAATAGAATTTGCATATATCTAGCTAGTAAGCAAGTGTTATAGGATTTTATGAATTGCTACGGCTTAACCGAGGTTCAAGATCAAATTGTAAAAGCATGTCGTCTTATAACACCAGCTGAAAGACTCATACTATAAATATATCTCCAACTATTCCTCACGAAGTACTTTACGAAGAATTAAAAATATTGGTTTCAACCAATTTCTTTTCTTAAGATTAGTTCAAACCTACCGGAATATAGCCACATACTAAATTTCCGAAGACAAGTATATGTGTCCATACAATTTTGTCGTACCTGATTCGTTTACAGTAAATTACAAAAATACTTCCTATAGAATCTTCATTTCTTAGGATAATCAAACCTGCTATAAATGCAAAGCTTCAGGACATATCGCTAGCTAGTGTCTTACGAATTCCAGTAATGCTCTAACTGTACTCACCTCCAAATCTCCACAAGCAAGAAATTACTGGCACTCCTAATTATAGCAACACTTTCAATCAACCACATTCGGCAACAAAACCGTTTTCACTAACTTCGGAAGCAATATCCTCCAACCTATCAACACCTCTTTCATTAGATAAAATTGCAGAAAGCTCTGATAAAGCTGATATATTACCACATTTCTCTAAAACAACTATTTCAGCTAATCTTACAAATAAAACTTCAAGCTCGTCTTCTATCACTACTTACGACTTTGCTTTAGTGCTTCCAAATGTAATAAAGCCACAGCATTCAAGTGAAAACTCTGATAATATTTGAGCCAATTCAAGTACCTCTATAAAACGAAGTTTTGTTGACATCAGTTTTAGGAACAAAATCTGTTCCTAAAACCCAAATCTTCTAAATTATAAACACCGCGCTCATCCAGCGATCCGACTACATGGAAAACTCTTGAAAATTTTATTGATAATCATACAACACCTTTCGTTTTAAATTACCACCAATTGTCCTTAATGCAGGAGACAAACTTAAAGACCAATCAATTGTACAATTCTACCAGGAAGTATTGAAAATGCTTTGCGAAACAAACAGTCAATTTCTAGACTCACTCGTCAGACTCTTTAACAATATTTATAACAGCGGGAGTTTCCTGAAGACTGGCTAGAGTCAACTTTTGTTGCCATACCGAAAAACCCAAAAGCAAAGTCTTGTGATTAACATCGGATGATAAGTCCAATTAACCACATTTCGAATGCATACACCAAGGTTATTTACAACAGAATAAGCAAAAAATGCGAGAATAACATTGGAGATTTGCAGTTTGGGTTTCGGAATTCTCATGGGACAAGAGAAGCACTCTTTAGTATACAGGTATTCATCCAGCGCTGCAGAGATATGAACAAAGACGTGTGCATATGCTTTATAGACTACGCAAAAGCATTCGATAACGCAAAAACATTCGATAACATAAAGCACGAAAAGATAATTGAAGTTCTCCATAAGATCGGAATCGACTACAGAGACATTAGAACAATAGTGAGTCTCTATTGGGGTCAAACAGCTAAAGTGAAAGTAGGATCTACATTGACCAATAAAATTGAGATCAAGAAAGGGGTACGACAGGGTTGTATCTTGTCTCCTATTCTCTTTAATATATACTCAGAAGAAGTATTTAAGACAGCGCTGGAAGAAAGCACAGAAGGCATAAAGATAAATGGAGAAATAATTAATAACATAACGTATGCTGACGAGACTGTGATTCTAGCAAGTAGCATGGAGGAACTGAGTTGCCTAATGAGTAAGATACAAAAAACAAGTGCACAATACGGCCTCAGACTAAATATCACAAAAACCAAATGGATATTAGTAAGCAAAACCCAACAACCACCACAACAACTGATATTAGACAATGAAAGAATTTAACACGTGGATTCGTACATCTACTTGGGAACAACAGTTAACTCAAGTTGGGATCAAGCGAAGGAAATACGTATAAGAGTAGAAAAGGCAAGAGCATCGTTCACTAACATGAAGCAAATTTTTACCTCTAAAAGCCTCACCCTACCTCTTAAAATTCGACTTCTGAAATGTTATGTATTCCCTGTTTTGTTATATGGAATGGAGGCGTGGACAATGACCGCAACATTGAAGAAAAAAGTAGAGACCTTCGAAATGTGGGCTTACCGACGTATATATCCTGGACTGAGCACGTGACCAACGAAGAGGTACTACGCCGGATAGGTAAAGAGAGAGAGGTAGGAATAAGTATAAAGAAAAGAAATTGGAATACTTGGGTCACGTTATGAGACATAATAAATATAGAGTACTACAGCTGATCGTTCAAGGGAAAATAGACAGCAGAAGGGGTCCAGGGAGGAGAAGACACTCGTGGCTCCAAAACTTGCGGCAATGGTTTGGATTGTCATCTGCTGAACTATTCAGATCTGCCGTAAACAAAGTCAGAATAGCCATGTTGATTGCCAACGTTCGGAACGGACAAGGCACATGAAGAAGGAGAAATCTATTGAGGCGGTCAGAATATCAACTACCAGTTTAGTGTTTATTTGCAATATTTACCTTCCTTGTGACGGTAGCCCCACAAGATTCAATATTTCAACAGGGTATTCCTCATGCATTGAGTTAACTCTCTGCGATCCAAATTTAGCTCATTGCCTTAGTTGGGATGCTCTAGCCTATACATATGGTAGTGACCATTTCTCTTTCCTTCAGTACTTTCTGAATAAGTTATCTGCAATGGTACAGAAACGTTAAGACGAATCACATACGAGTTTCTAGAAAGATGAGGTGGTTCAAATCCGGAAATAGTGGGAGTTAATATGATCGATACATTTAATGAAAAGTTTATTATCACTGACTAACATACTCACACAAAAATATAATAAGGAGACTTTTTCCGATTTATTTTTTATATAATTATGTAAACTTAGTTTTGCCACAATTAAAATTTACAAATATTTTTATTTTTAGTGTGACGTAGCACTGTGCAAAGGCAGCTGCTCCATACCCTCCTGCTCCAGCGACTCTATAAAATCCAGAGCGCTCAATCCAGAGGAAGGAGTACTAATGGCAGCTACAAGCGTCTTCGTAGTGGAACCAGTCGATGCTCCACGGATTCAGGAACTGTGCAACGAAGAAGCCGTAAGCCCGAAGTGGCTTCTGTGGTTGTGCGTTGCTTTTGGAATACTCTTCTTGCTGATGTTGATAATTAATATCTTCTTATGTTCAGCTATGACGTGTGCATGTGCTAGGACTGAAATTATTGAGAAGGAGCCTAGTATTATCGAGGATTATGATCCGTACAGGAGTTGGCATGGAAGTCAGTATGGATCAAGGTAAAAACATTATTGGAATTTTATTTTTAGGTTTTATTTAAAATGTATATGGGTGTTTCTTTACTATTTGGAAATTGTCTATACAAAACTGTCATTAAGCAAATTTTGGTAAATGTTTAGAATGTTTGTTAATAAAATGAAGGTCAATAGTAAATTAAATAATATTTAAAAAAACCCACATTTTCCTCTTGGCTTTCGAATTCAATTTTATGCAAACCTGTGAGAGGGGACTGTTATAGCCATCCAGGGGAACGTTTCTATGAATAAAAACAATTATTTTTGTTAATTTTAATCTGGCACTATTTTTAAGACTCATTTTTATGACACTAAAGTCAGCCATAATAAAATATAATAAACAAAAAGCTTACTTCTGCTAATAAATTATCACATATTTAAGATGGACATATTTCTTTGAAAAATTAGTTGTTTTGCAGTAACTAAAGGAATTAATATTTACTACACAATGCCTTACAAAAAAAATCATTGTTAACATTGTACTTTGAGAAACGGCTTTAAATTAACTTTATTTTTTAAAAAATTGGTTATTTCCATCCATTTTTTCGGTCCCTTGCATTCTCTCTTCAATTTCTCACGCCTATTTCTGACAAGTCTTGCTTTACTGTTTCCAACCATTTCTTCTTTGGACGTCCTCTTCTTTCTTCCCATTTCTTCCTCCTTCAGTATTGTTTTAACATTTTGATTCTCTGACATTCGCATAATATAACCAAGCCATCTAGCTCATTGGGCTCGTATTTTTGTCGTAATTGCTGGTTTTCCATACATCCTCATTATTTCTTTATTTGTTCGTCTCCTCTAAATGTTCTGTGTCGTCTTTATTCCTCAGAAGATTTTTCTGAGCACCTTTCTTTCCCAGATCTCTACTTTCTTTTCTTTCGGCTGATTCATAATCCAAGTTTCACTGGCGTACATTACTGTGGATCTGATTACTATCTCGTAGACTCTCAGTTTAGCTGTTTTTGGCACATTTTTCCTTTCAGTAATGAATTTAGTAACCCTATCGCTCTGCTTCCCTTCATTATTCTTTTGTCTATCTATTTTTCTCCTTTTCCCGTGTTCGTTATGGTTACTCCTAAGTATTTAAATTCTGACACTTTTTCGAAACTATAGATAGTCTCTGCTGCTTTCATTTTGATATATTTGTTATTATTTGTTATGTCTCCTCTCATTTTCATATATTGCGTTTTTGTTTGATTTATTATTTTTCCATATCTTTTCGCTTCTTCTTCAAATTTCTGGAAGACTTTTTTTAAATGTTTTTTTGTTCTCGCTAGTATTACCACATCATTCGCGTATGCTACGCACTATTCCGTGCTATTGAAATAGTCCTGTTTGTGCTCATATTTGATCTTCTCGGATGAATAAATTCGTTGATAGCGGATCCCCTTGTTTTATACCTCCATTTAGTGTACTTAAACTGTCTTGAAAAGCTTCCTTCCATTGTTACCCTATCTCTCGTGTTCCTAAGCGTCATTCTCACTTACCTTAAAAGCTGTTCTGGTATTTGTAATGTTCTCTTGGCCACATATAGCATCGTTCGATTTAGGGAGTCATATGCTTGTTTAAAATCGATCAATAGCATATGTAATCTTAAGTGTTGTTCGTAGCTATTATTTTTTATTAATTTAATCAGTGGTTGTTCTTTCTGGTCTAAAACCGCCCTGGTATTCTCCAATTACTTTGTTGTCATATTTTATTAATCTTTTCCTAATCATTTTTGCAATTATTTTATAGACTACTTCTAATAGTGCTATGCCTCTATAGTTTTAGCACTGCGTTTTGTCCCTTTTTTAAAGATATGACACCGAGAGGTATTCAAATGTTTCGGAATTTCTTCCTTTTGCCAAATTATTAGTGTCAAGTGAAATAACCGTTCCTTCAATATTTTGCCACCTTCCTTAAATATTTATTCCTGCCAATTCTCATTTCCCTCAAGTTCCTCTTGTTGGTTTGTATTTAATAGATCTTCGAAATATTCCGCCCATCTGTTTAATTCTGTTGTTGTTTCACCTAGAAGTAAGCCTTCTGTGTCTTTGTAATACTGTGGATTATTCTTTGTAGTTTCTCTGAATTTCATAATGTAGGCTTCTTATATGTGTTTCAATTGCTTTTTTAGCTGTTCTCTTTTATTTTTTCTGCAAATTCCTTTCACTTCACTTTTTCTTGCCACGTGAACCTTGCGTCTCAGCCGTAAGTGAAAACAGTTCCCTGATAATTTTTTTTTTTTTTGACTAATGACAGAGTTTTAAATAACGAAAATTGGTTTAAAATAATTGATTATTTAATGTAGCCGCAACTGTTATGTTTAAATAATTTTTTTTTTATATAGTAATAAGTCCAGTCCCCTATGCTATGAAACAGCAGGGGACTGTTGGCCAGGGGACTGTAATTTTTACATAAATATTTATTAAAACAAATTTATTTAAATATTAAACAGCTGTCGCTACATACTAGGTAATCAATTCTTGTAAAACAATTGTTGCTATTAAAACTCTTAAAATAGTAAAAAAAGTTTACCAGGGAATTGTTTTCACTTTAAGGCTGAGATGCGGGGCTCATCAACAGACGCAGTAGTAGCACTAAACAAAATAACGATTGCCAGCTAGTTCCGCAATAGACCAAACTTGCACCGATCGTGTTCCGTTTCACGATCTAAATATCCCGTACCACAACATAATGGTGAAGTCTAAAGATGCTTACCATTTTTTTTTGTATATTTTGATATTATTTATTCAGTTATTAGCGACAAAAAAATAAATACTTATAACAAGATTTGTAATTCTGGAAAAAGGACGTACCAGAAACTATATTTTGACGTGTTTGAGGTTCATTTATTTAAATATTTTATTATTCAATTAGTAAATATGCTATGACGTGCCAATAATATCTAATAACATATAGTTATTTATACAAAAAAATATATTAACATTTATTACATAAGCTTGTGACAGATATTGGACAATTTATTGGAGAATCACCCATATAAAACAATTATCTTCATATTTCACTGTTACTTTTATGACTTTGTTAATATTTCCAGATATTCTTTAAACGGAGCACCTCACAATCCGAAGGGCTACACATCGGGGGGCTCAACTATGAACTCTACAAGATCTGTGTCTTCCCATAGCGACCATTACGCCATAGTACATTCTAGACCGGGAAGTAGAAGTTACAACTCCAAACCACGCGGTCCTCCGTCCCACATCGGAAGCCACTACAGTGGCAAATAATGAGAGCTGAAGATATTACCCCTGAAGATGTGTTCACCAATCTCGAAACGAACTTTTAGAAGTGACTAAAAGATAAGAGCTATGCGCAATTTATTTTTGTACTTATTTGTATGGATAACTTAGATGTGAGTTCATTCGGTTTTTTAAGTTTGTCCACTTAACTGTTGCTTAAAGTTTCTGTGTATAAGAAAACTTATAAAAACTGTTTCTAGATGTACAACTTTTTATGTTTTCTAAAACTATGCAAGTCATGCTTTAAAATTATTATGATTTTAGATATTTTAAAAATCAATATATTTCAATATGACCTTAGGTTTCTTAATGACCTTAATGACCTTAATGACCTTAATGACCTCTTAATGACCTCTTAGAAATATATAATCGCACAAAGTTTACACTATACCTATGGGAAACTTATTTACGTCAAGAAGTTTTTTTACTACCAATCTCAATTTTTTTCTATCCACCTGGCCGCCACTTTCCTCTTTGCCTTGAAGATGAAAATCATCTTTAAAAACTTTCACTCGATCGCCCTTTCAGTTCCTTTTTTACCTCTAAACAAAATTTCTTTATTCACGTCTATCGTCCCCTAAAGATGCCTTTATACCTTAACTTTGTGGCTAATTTTTCGTTTGGTAGTTAGGTGGTTGTTCATCTGCACCTCTCATATTCTCATATGCCATTTTTTCGAATAGTTTTCTTAAAACAGGTAATTACTTACATTCAATGAGTTCACACTACTGTCTAACATAATGTTAATTTTTGCCACCAGTAGATCTAAAAGAAGCTCAATGTATTGTTATTAAAACCTGATGATAATTGGAGAAATTGTAAGGTCATATATGAATATCTGCAAGATATTTTGATTTCATGATTTAACAAAAAAGCGATGAAAACTAAAGTAACAGTTAAATGTTTAATCAAAATGACCTCTACTCGACTAATTTTCATTGTTATATAAATTCAAGTTATATTTTTGGAAAATGGTAGTTTCTTCTTCTGTTACGATACAACAGTGTTGTTCAATAGTATCTAAAAAATCTACAGAATAGTATGTGCTCCATGGTATTAGCAATAATGCAGACAAAAAGAAGATAGGGAAAGAAAAAAAACAAGGATACAAACAAACCAACTAAAGCAAAACAGCATTTGGAATAAAAATTGATAAATATAGAAGAATAAAAATAAAAACAAAAAGTAAATGTAATTGGTAAAATGGAAATAAGATAAAAATGGTTAAAATTGAGTGAAATAAAGCGCAATATAATAGAATAAGTAGTGGATTTCTTTCTTTACCATATGTTTGTCGCCATTGTCTTTGTTAAATAACGTAACCCACAGAATACACAGATTAATGATGTCATTAAAGATAGATGTAGCGAAATTTATCCTGATGTAGCAAAGTAGAAACTTTTACATAGAAAAGATGGGCAATAATATTTTCTAGTTTTGTCATATGCCATATTTTTTAACCTAAACCACTTTATAATGATATTTTGACTATCCATTGTTCCAGTCACCTTTTTCTGTGAGCTAACTGTGTATTCTGGTATCCCATGCGGTATATAAAGTTGTTAACTGAATGACTAAGGGAATAAACGAAAAATGATATGATTGACATGTTATTAATATTTCGTTACAGTCTAAAGTGAGCATTGGTCATTTTGTGGTAAGTTTCACAGTATATAATATAATGTAACAAAAATAAAAATACTTAAATCAATAGTTCTGAATTAAAATTCCAGAATGGGTACGCACTCCTTTAAACTCAATTTTGATCTTTTACTCCTCTTAACTAATTATATTTAATGCAACTGAGTAGACAAACTTAAAAATATTGCGAATAGTTCTTTCAAAATCTAGCGAAAATATTGTAATTTATTTTGACAGTTACTCATTGATATATTTTTAATTAACACTTTTAATTCATCATCTTAAAGCTTCTCTCACTTCATACTATTCTATGTACCCGTAAGCTATTTTGTAAAATAATATAAAGTGAATATTAATTACTTTTTCGTCCCTATTCCTCGAATACACACTTGTTATTATTGTGATAAACACAGCACATTAAACACAGAATGCCATTTCTCTATTGGTTATAAAGCTAAAAACCTTTTATAGCACAAAAGTAAGTCTTTTCTTTGATTATAAACGAATGTTTTTGCCTATAGTGTCAATTGATGATGCCAAAGTCGTCTCTCCAAAGGCAATTGTGAACCAACGAGCAGCAATTTACTGGGATACTTAATGAAACACACCACTGATATCTGCAGAGGAGCGATTTTTCCCATATCGATCATTGTACGACAAGAAGGTAGCATAAAAAGTTTACAAATAACGAAAATAGTTTGTAGTTTATTTACTTCTATTGTTCTAATCTTCATCATCATCGCCCTCCAACGTCCTACTGCTGAACATAGGCTTATTACCTTATTAATGTCATTTTATTTCTGATTCTATCTCTTCTTGAAATCTAGAGTGATCTTCTTATTTCATCCATATCAAGAACTTCTAATCCTTTTTTTATATTCCTCTGTTAGTCTCTAAAACTCAGATCCGTACAATAGACTGCTTTTGGGCTGATCTATCATGGGCTTCACACTTCCACTTGATGATTTTTAAGGTTTTAACATAGCTTTCAACTTTTTCTTCTTCCTTCTCTTTATAAACAATTCTGCTTATTCATCGGCGGCCATATAGTGTTATTAAGGCAACCTTCCAGTCTATTTGCTTTTTGTACTTGATCTCTCACTTCTTTGACCAGATCTCCAGGATGGTATAATTCAAAAATGTTTTATTTCCATTACTTGTTTAATACTGACGCCACCAATTTCTATTTTACAACTGGCTGGTTCTTTGCTGTTGGCTCATATTAAATGTTGGCTTTGATATTATGTTAAATCTGTGGAGCAGTCTTTTGTAAATTTTACATTTTGATCTTCTGATTGTTATTAAATCTATAATTCCATTTCCATATGCTTCAGACTATTCTAAAATATTTAAAATAGACCACATAGTTACAGTCAAATGCTTTTTGAGTGTTTCAGTTTTAAAATTATAATACATTAGGTACTGACAAATAACTTCTTTATTTATTTTACAAAAATAATCAAAAGGGCTCACATGTGTTTAAGATATTCTTATTGTCTTTAAATTTGTGTGTTAAGGAAAAACAAAAAATTGTACACATAAGTTCTGTTTGTTTTGAATTCGCTGCATGGAAGAGACTAGCTTCTCAGAAGTAATTCTGATCAGGCCTGATCAATGTCTGCAAAAATGTTTCTAAAAGAAATAAAAAACAAAACTTGGTTTGGAACAAAGAGAGATAGATTGTCTAAAATTACTTCTTGTTGTAGACATAAAAATATCATCTTTGCTTTCTTTTTTGGTGCTATGAGTCCTTCAGATATAATTCACGTAAATAAACTGGAAGGTATCACGTGTTTTATAAATTCTTATGAACTATTTTGCAATAAATACTGAGTTAACCTGGTAGAGAAGTAGCATTCCAATATTTTTATTTCACTAAATGCTACTTTAGGTGTGAGTCTAGTCTAATAGCAACAATTGATAAAAATCTATCTATAATAATAGCAAAAAAATAATCGTTGCACGTCATAGGTTCAGTGAATGACGTCACAGAAAAATGAAGTTTCAAAAACGGTGTTGCCGAATTAACATGTCTATTTTCATATATTACTCTTGACATAAAAAGTATTTTACTTAATTTACAAATAACTTTAAATTTAGTCAAATTTAGTCATATAGTTAATAAGTAGTAGCTCTTATTTCATGCTTTTGACTTTTAAAGTATAAAGTTTGGTGGGATGTTCAGATATAAATATGAATTAATCTGTTTTCAGACTAATATCATACTTTTTGACTTTAATGTCTAAAAATTTTATTTTTTTTCACAATGTTATATAAAAACAATATCAATTTCCTCTTAAAATATTATAATTTCCAAAAATTATTCACAAAATATCTCTCTTATGACTTTTCCTATTGACCCTTTGTATTGGGATTCCCAGCCATTATTATAATCTCAAAATGGTCTGTTCTCAGTCTGTTTCTGTTTTGTTACAAACAAACATATGATTTTATCAAATGCACATTGCTATACTTTACATTGAAGAGAAAACTCGGATATCTGGGGCATATAATGAGAGGAAGCAGATACAGGATAATGCAGTTGATACTTAACAACAAGATCGAACGAAGAAGAGGAATTGGTAGAAAAAAATACTCATTGCTCCGAAACCTTCGTCAATTGACTGGCTTATCAGCAGATGAAGTTTTACATGCCGCGCACGATCGAGAACAATATCGGCAAATCGTCATAGAAGCTACCCCCGCCTAAAACTTGGGCAAGGTACTCAAAGAAGAAGACATTGCTATACTATAATATTCTCTCGATAGTGCAGTGTTCAGACCGCGAACCTTTCAAAAGAAAGCTTGTACGGTTGAGGATTTAAAGCTCACCGATCACAGATTTTTTAAATAATAGACATTCTAATGTATATTAGTTCAATACAGTATCGTCCTACAACCACTGCGTTAGGTTGTATATAATACGTGATACTTAAAAAAGGTAATGACATCAAATGTATTTAGTAACTATAACATTTACTCAATAGAACTACTATACAAAAAAAGGTTTAGGGAATGGCCAATTATGATAGGCAAAAATTAGCACTTTTCATGACAGCTGACTAAAATTTAGTATCACTACAAGTATCATTAGTACTAAAATTGAATGATATGACAATTGTCAACTGTCAAACTAATGACTTATAAAATATAGACTTAGTAGTTGGCTGTGCTTCTTCGTGCAACTTCGTATCACAACAATAAAGGAAATCGTGTTTGCGATGTGACACTATATTATACACCATTGGCTGAACTGAAATATGACGTGCAACAAAATCTGTGTTTAGTGTATACAAATATATGACTCTGAATTGATTTAATTTCATGGTAATAACACATTCTTTTCTGATACTAAGAGAACTTGGATAACTATTCAAATACGATTTTCAGGTTTTTTTACAGTAGTGTATTTTCTATTAGATATATTAAGAATTGTAAATTTTAATATAGAATAAGACAAAATGTGAAAAATTGTAAAGAGAACTGAAATTACCTTTGTAAATATTATACCATGATAAATTTATAATTAATAATAGGTATCCAGTTGTTTCATTTCTTCCCTTCCTTTCAGAATTTTATG